GGAACAGGGTCGGATCCAGGAGAGCTTGGCACCCTGGAGGGCCCCCACCCAGCAATTCTGCCTTCACACTTTGCAAGCTCTCTGCATCCAGCCTCAGGCGGGATCACTTCTTCCGGTGCAGCAGATTGGATTTTCTATAGGATCTTAGTCTCAGGTGCATTTGACTGCATCTGAACTCAGCTTAAAGGAGTAAAGATCTATGCTTTGGAAGGTTTATTCTGTCCGTGGTCATGTGGTTCCATGGCGATGGGTCTGTGATGCAGCAGAACATCATAGCAGCAGTATCACGTGACAGAGCGGCTCCTCATGGCACAGCAGCCGAGAAGAGAAGATACACACAGGAGAAAAGGCCCAGGGACAGCACGCATCCTTCAAAGGCAAGCCAACTTCTTCCAATCTGTCCCACCCCACCTCCCCAATAATGGCGGTCTATTATGAATCCATCTATTCATTAAGCCATTGATTACATCAGAGCCCTAGGCCTTACCAAAGTCCTATCTGTGAACATAGCATTGGAGACCAAGCCTTCAACACCTGAACCTTTGGCAGAATTCTTTACAGCCAAGCCAAGAAACAGTAGCCTGCTTATTTTTCCTTCAGGCAACCACTCCCATATTAACTGTACTAACTAAATTCCCATACAGACTTATGGACCAGCCATTTTCTCCTTCTAGGCTTCTGGCTTGTTCAGATGCATCTTGTGAGATATGGTATGGCACTCCTTCATTGTTCCCAACACAGTGTCCCAGCTCTTACACATCTCCCTGTACATCTGAGCTGTGGACAAAAGCCATGAACATCAGTATATGTTCACTTCGGTGAAGAATCCAGCTAGACAGAATGTAAGCGGGATTGTGAATGCTGTTCAGAGTCCAGGTAGTTAGTAACTTGCTCAAAATGGTAAGAGGAAAACATGTGGGGCAGGGCAAGTCTAGAGATGACTGGCCAGTTTCTACTTGGTTTGCCTGTTTGGAGGAAACATGAGTGAGCATGTTTAGAGGGTAAAACAAACATGTCAGAAAAAATAAAGGAACCAAATGGGTTAGAGAGCCAGGGAAAAACAGAATGTCTGAGAGAAAGTCACAGAGGGAAGTCTTGAAGAAGGAAGTCCTGTACTCTGTAAAGGAATGAATGGTAATTATCATTCGGAGATGGTTAGGACAAGAGGAGGCAGGTAGGAACAGAGAGTGAGTTATTTGGATATAGGAGAATATGTTGAGCCCGAGGCTCAACATCTGCCTGGGAATTTCAGGTTTACTTGAAAACAGGGAAGACTGGAAGGGACGGGGGGCTACAGACGGGAACTATTCACCCTGCACACATTAGAGCATTTAATTATCACACTGTCAGCCAGCTAGGCTTGCAGCACTGGAAGACGTTAACTGTCTTGCAAGTCAAATTGTAGTTTGCGGTCCATTTGGGACTTGACTAGAGATCTGTCCAACAACATCCCTCCATTTAGTGACCTCCCCTCCCCTTTCCCCGTGCATCCGTCCTTTTCTCTCCTGCTAATGACATCTTGTTGTGATCGTTAATGAGTTTTCATAAGGTCCACTGCGCTTCTGTCTTATGAGTTACCAGCCAAGGAAAGGCTTTGCTTCACTCTACAAATATCTAAGAAACTGGTATTCTTTTCTGCAATCAAGGGAAAATGTAGCCACTGGGGACATGGTTCAGTGGATAAGACGCTTACTGTGCAAACTTGTGGACCTGAGTTCAGATGCCCAGCACCCACAGAAACCGCTGGGAAGGTTAACACGTGCCTATAATCACTGTATTGAGAGACTGAGACAGAGGGATCCAGGGGGCTCACAGCCCACCCAGTCTAGCTGAGAGAAATTGTCTCCAAAAATGAAGCGGAGAATGATACAGGGAGATGCTTATCCCCAACCTCAGGCCCCACTGGGGCATCCACAAGCAATTTGTACAGGGAGCTCCAGAATGCAGCTTTCATGAGTTGTCATCCATGCTGGGCTGAGCTTTTTGGGGATGTAGCCACCTTTGAGTTGCTACTGCTCCAGCAAGGGCTCCCAATAAGCTCTTGGATTCAACCTGCTAGACTTGAGCGGAAGCATTCCTTTGGTCTGCCATTACTCCCCTATATAAGGTGAATACATGTTTGCCCACATCTCCCCATGAAGTGTCATGGAAGGGGAGCCAGGCCTGACCTGTTCTTCTTTCCTTTACTCTCAGTAAAAATATATTGTATGACCTGTGCAAAGTCCTTCAGAGAACCTGCAGTGTATCCTTGTACTTGTCTGCTCTCTGGGTCCCGGGCTCCTACTAACTTGTGAATAATACCTTCAGAAACCCCACGTGTGTGTGCAAGCATCTCTATTCTCCTTTGCCTACCTGGGTCCAGTGTGTGTTTGCAAAATGAATGAATCAGTCAGCCACTCAATCAATCAAGACTGACCTTTAATTAAATGGCCACTTATTTACTTTCTGGTCTACAGTGGAATTTGTCCCGCTGGCAATTAGAATTGGAGCCTTTAGAAAGGTAAACCTGAAAAGCACTACACTGTTAAATACATTCCTTTTTAAAAATCCTATTTCCGCGGCTGCTTTGTTCTGCCCAGAGAAGTTTGGGATGGAAAGTTGAATGAGCAATCAGCATGACAGCCTCTCTGTGATTACTCCTGTAATCTGCAGAGCCTAAGTGGTGGCCTTGGGGAGACTTTGAGTCTATTTCCTTATTAGGAAATCATAGTGATTTCAGGAAAAGCACAAAGGAAATGTTTCTGCTGAGAAATAGCATGCTGTAACTAATGAGGGAAGGAAAAAAGTATGTACTTTGAAATCCCACATAGTAACACTATGCCTCAGAAGGAAATTGTGTCTTCAGGAAACCCTAAGCTTGCACTGGAACAGAGAGATGCTATGTGTGTCTGGCCCTTGAAGGCATGTGACACAGTCATGATCTGCATCCCTGTACCCCTTGTCAATCACACAAGGGGCAACACAGCTTTTCTTGCCTTTTGTTTTTGTTTTGGTTGTTTTGGTTTTTTCTAGACAAGGTTCCTCTCTGTGGCCCTGGTTGTCCTGGAACTCGCTCTGTAGACCAGACTGACCTCAAACTCAGAGATCTGCCTGCCTCTGCCTCTCAAGGACTGGAATTAGTGCTGGGATCAAAGGTATGCACCACCACACCCTGCTGGGTTACTATGCCCTTTATATACAACCAGATTTCTGCTTCTTTAAAGGCAAGGATGCTGTGAATGTTACCCTGTCCCTGGCAACTATAAATAAGAAGGGAACCATGCTATTCAGAGCTTTAGTTACTGGCTCCCTGTCAACCATCCTTTCATGGCCACAATTCTTTCCTTGTTATTATGCAGCCACCATTTGTAGTTACTGAAAAAATGCTTAAACTCTGCTCATTGATAAACTGTATGCCATTCTGATCTCAAGAACATACCCAACAAGTCACTTGAGAATGAACTGTTCGACTTGTATTAATATAATTAATCAGTGTTTAATCAGGATTGCAGAGTTGAGAGCTTTACCCAATATATTCAAACAATATGCTCCTGGTGCCCAATCTGGGTATTAAAGATACAATGGTAAACAAACACACAGTGTTTTGCCCTTGTGGGCTGCTCTAGCTAATAGGCAAGGCAAATGTGGGGGAGGAAATGCCATTTCATATGAAACTGGCTATAGTACAATTAAGTGCATGCTGTATAGTGAGCCCTGAGAGAACGCAGAGAGAGGATGGCCAGATACATGAAGTCGTTTGATCTCTTGGATGATTGCTATAAACTGAGATTTCTTATTCATAGTTCACAATGACCCCAGACTCATCTAGGGCTAGCTCCTTGCCTGACATATCCTGGCATCCAGGCTGAAGGCAATGGGTCAGTCTCTCTCTCTCTGAAATGCATAGAGGGCATGGAAGGGCAGACAGTGGCCAGAATCGGCCCTCACCACTTTCTGTTGTTTGTATTGGTCAAAGTGAATCTCACACCTGACACTGGGTTTACTTAACATTGTTCAGAGAGCAGGGCAAGGAGAAGCAACCTAGACTAGCTGGAAACTGCCATGGATTGTGGCTGGAACATAAAGTGAAAGATGAGACAGACCCAGTATAAAACAAGGAGTAGGTGATAGGTAACCTGGCATTTGACTTGAGGAATGAGTACAATGATGAGGCTTTACTCAGCCCATCTTTTTCAGGGATTTAGACCTCAGTCTCATTCTAATTTCTCACAGCAACATCTAGAATACGGTTTGAACAACATTCTGGACTAATGGTCAAACTAATTTGATCTATAGAGTCAAGAAAAGATAGTTGAAAAGCAAGAGTGTGTCTCTCTATGCGCTAGTCTTAATGTATAGCTTCTCTACGGAAAAATATCCAGGTGGAGAAACTGCTCCACATTTATTAGCAAACATCCCTTGGAAAAGATTAAAAAGAAAAAGAAAGGAAGAGATGGAAGGAAACATTAAGAAAAAATGTAATAATCTATATTAAAATCTTTGGTACTGACACACCAAACTGTAGCTCATTTTTATAATTCTTTATGCTACGTTATTTTTATCTGTCCACTGGTATTTATTTTTTTCAGGTGGTAAAACTAATGTTGAGAGATTATTCCCCTGCCACAGATTAACAGCCTCTCATATTGAGGTCACACCGATCGTTTGGTATGCAGCAGAGTCACCTGCCAGCCTCTGGCTAGCCAGCAATGGGCACCAACTGGATTCCCACCCACCAAGACCAATCAAGATGACCAGTGGAGAGCAATGTTGAATTCATTCACAAATAGCAGGAACAAACCCTGACCTACTTTAAGCTGTGAAGTGGGGCTCCTGAGCTTCCTTTTCTGGATGAGAAAAGCTAAGCCTGCCAACGGGCTTTGTTTGATCTAGACATCAGGCATTCATTCGCTGATTGGATGGGACAGGGCGAACACACACTGCACAATCTCTGTCCCCGCTTGGTGCTGGCTTTGGCAAGACCAAGGGGAGGAGCAAACAGAACCTAAATTGAGTCCTTACCTTCCCGGTATTTCATTAATTTGACTTCAAGCTCCATTCTGCTCCCAGAGAGGTCAGTCTTGGTTTTTGACTGCATTTCTTGGTTCTCATCGATAAGTAGGTTGCAGGAAGCGGAGTTACACAGACATGGAAGAGCTAAATTACTATCCAAGACGAGCCAGGCAGAGTGCAGAGGGACAGGCTGATCAGAGGAACCCAACGCCAGGCCATTGTATAGAGATGTGAAGATGGCTTAATGAGAACGAATGGGTCCAGATAACAACTCAGCTCCCATGAGCACCCATGAGCAGCCAAGGAAGATGAGATGATCTGTGGGACCTAGTGTGTTGTGTGGCTGGGTTTTCACGCAGGTTTCCCTGTCTCCGAACTGCACCTTGAGAACAGGATAGGGCTGTCGAGGGAGAGGAAACTGAGTCAGAAAAGAAAAAGTCAGATGCCACAGCTCTGCTGTATGCTTGCTGTGGGTCTTAGGGAAATGATTTGCCTGTACTCCAATGGGAAGAAGAGGGCTGAACCGGCAGGGCTTGCTCAAGGCACAGCGACTGGGGTGGCTGCATAGAAGACATCAGTCCTTCCTAGCCATCCTCGGTTGTCCAGATCTAGTGTTTGTGCTATTTATGTCTCACCCCACATCTCTGTGGCACTCCTGGGGAGCTGGAGGGACAAAAATTTCTGCTTTACTAAGAATTCTCCTATTATTTTTCTCTCTGGAGAAGCCTGTCCTCCTTTGATCCGAGATTGACAATCAGGCTATTCTGAGAAGGACTAATTACAGAACACATCCGGTGAGTGCCCCTCTTTTCGCCCACACACAGTTACTGGAGCTGCAATGTGACAAGCCCGTCTTGCCAAGTGGCCCAAACCTATGGCACCTGTGGGCAGTGGTTGCCCATAGCAACAGCAAGGGGGAGGAGCTGGGAGGAGAGAAGCCACAGTGTCTGTCTGGTTTTGCTTGTGATTTTGTGTGTGTGTGTGTGTGTGTGTGTGTGTGTGTGTGTGTGTGTGTGTGTGTGTAGAGAAGCATGCAATTAAAAGTGAGGGAGTCAGGAGAAGGTGCTGGGGAGAGGAAATGGCATGTCTGCTTGCATTAATTTTAACATGTAACTTCTTAAAGGGAGAGTGCTCAGCTGAGGAAGCCCTGTCTCTCCTCACTTACTGGCAAATGTAGTCATACCACAATATTCACGGGAGATGGCCTCCAAGAATCCCCAGGGTTATCAAAAGCCTTGTAAGTTCAAACCGTCTATAGAAAACAGGTAGTATATATGCATGGACCTTGTGTGCAGTCCCTATAACAACCAATGCACTGTAACTGCTCTTTGAAGTTAGCGTTACACTGTGTTGTTTAGGAAATAACGACAGGAAAATAAATCCTGTATAGATGCCATTTTTTCCTCAGCCTTCTTAGTCTGTGGTAGGCTGAATCCATGGACACTGAGAGCTGACCGCATGTATGTAGGTAACAGAGACCCTTACCTCATCTCACCTTAAATCACACTAACCCATTCTTGGGAAAGATTTTGGGTTGTCTCCGTCCTTTTAGGATGATGAATTTGGAAAAGGAAGAGTCTGGAATCTCACAGAAATGTAAGTCTACTGGCAGATATCAATACTTATAGTAAACTGTCCCCAAGTTGGAAGGCACGGAGGCCCAGAAGCCCGGTGCTTTACCGTGTCTGCATACCAAGAGCCAACAGCAAGGGCGGCTGTTCATTAGTACGGTCTTTTGTGGACCCCCTTTGGGCACATCGGGGACATCTCTAGGTGGAGCTGCTTTAGAAATATCACCAGCCTCTTAGATTCCCAGGTCTCCACAATTTTGTCCATCAGGTGGGAATAAATTCTACCTTTTAAGTTGCTTAAAAGATGTACTGTAATTTCGAAAGTCCCCAACCCCACGCCTGTCAGCCTGTGTGTGGTATGTAAAGACCGCGAATTCCATGCCTGGAAAGGAAGACTCTTGGATGTAGGCGAGGAATGAGCGCAGGACAGAGAAGGTGGACAGCCGGCCTTACCAGCCCGTCCACATCTGTGGTGTTTTTCATAGCTCCTTCCAGACTCTGACACTGCCTGGCAGCAGGGGGAGGCAGCTCAGTCCTGTTGCCTTTGGAGATACTCTTCCTGGTTTCTAAAAAGGAGTTAGCCATGCCTCTGCCTATGGGCTCAGGTTCCTGAGGACTGGACACATTTTCTGCTGGGCAAGGTTCACTGAGCAGTAACCCTTGGTCTGGACAGCCTGAGAGTAATTCTCGGCCCTGTAACCCAGACATGCAAGGGTGTGTTGGATTTGTGGGACTTCTGAATGTGTAGGTACATGCACATCTGCACATATGGTAGGAAGCCAATAACAACCTTAGTTGTGGTTCTTCAGCACCTGTCCAGCTTATGTTTTCCTTAAGTATTTTTATTAATTTTTTTGAGAATGTCGTATAATATATTTTGATGCTGTTCACCCATCCGTTTCCCATCTCTTCTCAGGCCCACTCTCTTCACATGCACCACCCTACCCACCCAACTTTGAGTCTTCTTCCTCTTCCTCCTCTTCCTCCTCTTCCTCCTCTTCCTCCTCCTCCTCCTCCTCCTCCTCCTCCTCCTC